CCCCAAAACCCCAAAACCCCAAAACCCCAAAACCCCAATTTGGATATATATAAATCTATAAATTATCACACAAGGATGGATATTCTCAGCTATCTTTTGTCAGATAAACGGATAATCTCCTGCTTCTTCGGTTGAAAATTTTGTCTTCTCACAAAAGTTTTGGTTCCATCAATCGATTTTTTCAGATTTTTCTTCTCATCCTGGAGTTTTTGATATTGCTTTGTCTCAACCACTTCTTGTTCAATCGTACTGATTTCATCTAGAGGATGACAAATGATTATTACCTTCCCTAATAACCATCTTAGACTTTTTCATCGAGTTAAGCCTTGCTTTCCTAGAAATGCTTAGGAAGTTTTCTGATCTATCAAGCTGTTTCTGAGCTCCTAATTAGAATATTAAAACACTCTTTTGGGAAAAATGACATACCCATTACCAAGACTATGAATCCAACTATTGTGAAGAATATAACGATAGGAAACTTAATTCTGTCGAAGGGTTTGACCTTCTCTTTCTCCATATAGCTCATTCCATGTCTGTCAATATTTCTGTAATGCATTGGCATGAATTCACTACGATGCTCTTTCACACTAAAAGTCAGCCTTTTGGCTTACTTAAACCTGCGCATCCATTTGAGTTCCTGATGAGCTTCTGCTGCTGTATTGGGATCTTCATGGAACTGTTCATAAAACTTATTAGGTCTTTTGCTCTTAAATCCGTCTTTCTTATCTTCCTCCTCATAAGTTCTATGCTCTTCCTCTCTCTTCTTCCTAAGGGAGGGGTCTTTATCCATCTCGATCTGCCTGAAGGCTTCCTTAGCTAATGTCTCAGAGGGAAAAATTACCTAGGATAAACATTTTCTCTGCATATTCATTGCCAGGGTTCAGATCTGGGTGATATCTCTTAGCTAACTTGAAATAAGCCTTCTTCACATCCTTGATTTCAGTATCACGGTCTACATTTAGCAGAACATAAGGATCCTTTGAAAGATTCTTGCTGATACTTATGAACCTTAGAGGAACCCTAAAGAGCAACTGTGGTCTATGGAAGGAAATATTGCGAGGAAGGCAATACGGACGAAGCGTTTTGTAAAACAGCTTCGAATGGCTGTGCATTTTCAATATATATTAAATTATAAGGGGTTTTGGGGTTTTGGGGTTTTGGGGTTTTGGGG